GCTCAAGAATTCACTTTTCACACTTATTTTTCAATTCCTGACTTTTGCCCCATAGTGTACATTTGTCCTTTCTTGACCTTTGACTGCTATCCTTTATGAGATATAATCTAAGAGATATAATCTAAAACATTTTGTGTTGACACAACGATACTGTCTAATAGATCATTCATTTTACATTAGCTAAGTTTCTCTGTTGCACACCATTAACATCAAACACCACTTCCTCCTATTTCTGTAATAAAATTCAAAGCTGCATTGCCTTAAAAACATTAACAACATTATGCATTATTTATTATATTCTACCTTGCAGGCTCACCTACACTAATCCTCCTGGATGCATTCAGCACAGGAGTGACCCCTGGCCTCTGGCTTTAAAGCAATTTACTACTACTGCACACACAGCAACATTTGAGATAGAAATTAAAGGTGGGATTGGAAAAGTGTTTGTTGTAGAAGGCTCTCATCTGTTTACCTTGTGACACTAGAAAAAGTTCCCAAAGTTCTGAATATATCAATGGTATTTAGTATCGATTCATGGTTCCCTGAGACAGATTTGAAGAGCAATTGTGTGACAGTAGGGGGTGAGAAATGACAACAAATGCTTGACAAAGATGGTTCAAAAACCCAACAAAAGAACTTCCCAAAAAACCAGAGAGTAGGCAGAACAATTGTTGTAGTCAAATAATGCATACAGAAGAAATGCAGAAGAATCCTGGAACACGTCTGTCCCTTTCTGTTCTAGATAATGCAAAGTAGTCACCAGATCATCACAAAGACCTTTAGCCTTAAAACCTGGATAATTTAAATCTACAGTATTTAATGCATTTAAAATCCACAAGAGGGCAGACATAGAGGTAAACTGAAGACACACATCAAGACAGCAGATCAAAAGAAGCCTCAAAACCCTGCCTGGTGCTCTGAAATATGTGTGGTTGGGTTTGTCTTTGTTCTGTGGCTTAAGAAGAATTTGACCATTTGATGGGGGAATTTTATTAATAATGCATTTAGACTCCTGATTGTCTTTACTTAAAAACATAACCTTGCCATATGCTGAAAATACAAATCCTATTAACAGGTTCAGGTAATTCTTCATTTGTTCTTGAAACTGGCTTTGGTTCCACAGATAATTATAATGACCAAATGATTTCCCTTGTTCACTCATAATTAAAAATTCATTCATATTCACAGCAACTCTTCCCTACAGGGTACATGTTTTGATCTGTGTATGTGCATGCATGCTACACATGTAAACTTTTTAACTTTAATATACTGCTTGTGCCCACTGTAAATAGCAAACTCCATAACCACACTCTGGCACATGTATTTACTGTAATAATTTCTTCTTCCTACATGGGTATAAATCAACTTCCCAAAGCAAAGTTCAGCAAGAACAAGATGAGAACAAGAAACATTTCTCATTTTCTCAGAGGATGTAGTGCCAAAATCTACAACAGCTGTGGATTCACCTAAGGTAAGTCTGAAGTGAAACACAGACCCAAGGATTCATCTGTGATCTATTTAGCTTGGTTTCTAGAAAATATTGTTCTTTATGTCTGGGCCTTCTCAAAACATGGCATGAGGAACACCAAGCAGAAAAAGAGATGGTGAAAGCAGTTTATCCAGCCAGGATCTGCTTTCAGAAAAAGCAAATGCAAATGCCACAGCCACTTTGAGTGCACAGCAAATATGAAGTTTCACATTCTTTCGGAGTAAGCGCATTCAGAAGTGGTTTTTATATTTCTGAAAATACCCTTTGAAGCAAAACATTTACGTGTTTATCCTCTACTGACAGAGAGGTGAACTGTGGCTAACATGGACAACGTGACAGTAGCCCATATCCTAAGCAGACCTTGCCAGACTTTAATTTAGGAAACAGCACAGTTAATCATAGGAAATTTGTAATTACAGGATTAGCTACTGACTGGGGTTTTATATTCACAAGGGAAGTTACCAGCAATTACGAAATAAGTCTGCTAGGGAACACACATGTGGTTGGGCTTTCTTAGGTTTAATACATTTATTCACCTGACTAAGAACTTGACACGATCAGCACTATGCTCAACAGTAGCAACTTACAACTAAGGGCTCCAAAATTGTCTACTGATTTACTGTTTCTTGAAAAATCTTGCTTTGTAACATTTAATAGAACTCAGAAAATATAATCTTGTTCGCCATCAACACCGAGCAATCACATGGCTGGTAGCTGTTAGCCTGAAATCTAAGTAGGATGATTCTCTGTAAGAATTGTCAAACAAAATAAACAGATTAATTAGACAATTGCAGCTGAAAGGACAAATAATTCTTAGTGCTGCTGAAATATACAGCAGGAAGGTAACATTCTGGTACAAAGCAAATGCACTAATTCATACCAGGGAAAGACACCTTTTTTTTTTTTCTTTTACTTCTAACGAGCTATTATGTCTAAGTTTAAAAAGAAATCATTAAACCTGCATACCAATCAGCATTTTGTCCTTCTGACTGAGAACGTATTTTAACACCTTTGCCACCCCTACAGTGATTGGCTGAGTCATGTCCAGTTTTATGGTGGCTTTCTACAGACTTATGTTTAGAATGGGGAAAACAAACAAGCAAACAAAGTTCAAATCATTGATTTCACAGCTTTTTTCTACTCCAATTCTCATTTGAATTCTATGGCCACGCTCAAACCTTACTATAATTGCTAGGCTAATGGAAAGTACCGAAGCAAGGAGAAGAATCACTGTTTCCAGCCACCCTTGCTGCACTGTAAAAGTGTGGGTAGAAGAATTTACAGGAGGTTTGCTTTGCAGGTTTAGTACACCTGGCCTCATTTGTAGCTCCAACAGAACTGAACTCAGGGTCTTCTTCTATATTGAAGAGCTAAGCCCAGCCCTGTCATCCCACACAAGTATTTTGGACATGGCTGAATAAATAGTTTAGAAAGGGATAACCTCACCTGCTTGGCTTACCAGCAACTGTCCTTACTCAGAGGAAACCTTGCACTGCACTCATTTGAGGAAAACTTTTGGGTCAGGCTACTCAAAACTGCAGAATTTTCTCTCAGAGTTTAGAAACAAAAATATAGCAAGGGATGTAAGAGATTTTAAGGAGGTGTCTTTACAGGGCTCAGTGCTGTTCAAATCACAAGGAAAGATAGGGAAGCTCAGGCCTTGGCACCCTCTGCCCAGAATAACCCAGTAATACAGCAACCTTCTCCTTCTGCAAAAGCCAAACAGTAAAAAATGTTCTCTGCATAAGCTGTCAGTGTCACCTGGCAAGACTGAGTTACAAGCTAAACTCTGCTCAATACCAGAAGGGAAGGCAGCAACCTGCCCTGGTCAGAAACAGCAGACTCCCATGAATACAGAACAAGTGTGCATCTTGCAAAGATTAGTGTACTCTTAATTTAATAATTCATCCTCCTCTTGCATTTTCCAGACTGAATCTGATTCAACAGCTGTTTTCAACCACGGTTTATTTGTTCAAAGTTTTTAACAGTTTTGTTCTAAGTTATAAAGGAAGAAAATAAAGTAGGATCCATAATAACAATTTTTTTCTTCCATGCCCAAAGGGCTTTTATTATTTCATCTCAGCAAATCTAATCCCCACCATACCTACTATGAAACTGAACAAATTGCACACAGATGCAGAAGGTAACGTAGTGACCAAACCCTCCAAGTTTTATCACAGTATAACTGACCTATATTAAAAAGTCAGAACATGCCAGACAAAAGGATTTGAATGCTTTAAAACATTTAGAACAAGATTTCCTTTTGTGAAACGACTTCAGTGCTTCTTGTCTTGCAAAGTGGATTTATGATTGACCTTGAATTTGGCAGATCAAGTCTGTTAAAAAGTATTTTGAAGTCTGAGGCACGACACAGAGAATGATCACAACATTAGCACCGAAGAGTTAACCTGGCTAATGCTGCAGTGGAGGTCTCTCTTCCAGAAGCAACCTTACCTGTTGTAGCACTTCCTCCCAGTTTTGTTTGAACAGCTGGTAAACTGGAAATGAACTTGTGGATTTAAGGGCTTATAGTCTTTTCCCTGTAGAAGGATAACAAAAAAAACCCCCGAAACCACAAACCCAAAACAACTTCTGTTATTGGTTCCTTTTTGCTGAATGCCCTTCTCAAAGAGAAACAGAAATGAAAACAGCTTCACTTCGATTATTGTTCAGCCAAGAACATGCTGCTTCACCGTGCAACAAATGGAATTAGCAAATTGACAACCAGTTATTCCCAGTTCACTTCGTGCTGCATCTACCTGATGCTGCTGCTGTACAAACATGCTGAGACACTTCCATTGCTTCAGAGATTTGAAAGGTAAAGGCTATGAACATGTGACTAATGATACCCAAAGTACAGCTGATAACATCTGTTTGCAATGCAAGATGTCTTACGGGAAATTTATATACGACCAACACAGCTTAATAATAAAAGGTTGCAATTTTGTATCATTGTTGCTCAAAATTTTTTTTAACAAAATATCAAAATTAAACTGGGGCATTTTCAACTGGGGTTGTATTTGTACAGAACCAATGTCCTGCTTATCAGGACATCCTGCTAGTGAAAACCTGGACCATGGAGTCAAATTCCAAGCTATAGTTAGACTCTACTAAATTTCCAGGAGCACACACAGAATCAGACTTCCAGATCCCTATCCAACTGTGATCTCACCTTTCCATTCTAGCCTCTTATATATCTGACCTATGTAACACTTTATGCACATGCATGCATACATACCTTTTTTGTGAAAGCCTTGTGGGATCACACCATTTAAAAACTTAGGTGGCAACTCTTACTACTTTTCTCTTTCTTAAATTGAATGATAATTCCTAAATCCAAGTTTCCTTGGGTTAGTTGTTGGAAAGAGCTCAGGGTCTTGCACAGTAACACCAGGAGTCAAACACTAAGTGGCTTTGTTTCTGCTTCTCCATCTTACTGTCTGGATTTTTCTGATGTACCAGGCCCAGGACATGCGCAGTGATGGAGATCCAGGAATATTTTCCTGCCTACCTCAGCTGGAGTCCGTGGAGACAAATGGACCATCAAGTCTCTCCTGCACTTGTGCCACGGGCGGCTGCTTCTCCCTCGTTTCCCTCCTCACTGGAGGGTGATGACAGCTGGGATATCATGGCCAGCTCTGATCCCACCACTGCTGTAACGTGAGAGGCAGCTGATGTTAGCAAACTCCAAGACACTGCTACCTGAGCATAACAAACAGGGCTCAGGGAAAGTGAGCAGCCAACACTTTGCAAACACTGAGTTCTGCCACTTCACTGTCTGCCCCTGCCCACAGCATTGCAGTCAGGAACAGCTTACAAAGAGAAGGGGACAGGAGATAAAAGAGACCAAACCAGCAGTAACTATTAAATGAAAGACTGGCTATCCCAGGTTGAAATGTTCAAGGAATAATTTTCCAGGTCAAGGAAAATTTATCTGTGACAACTTTTCAGCTGTGACTTAAATTACTTGAATTTCTCCAATCTTCTTGATGTACCACAGAACATACAGCTGTCAGAATTCATGTTGAGGAACACAATTTTACAGCTGTAATTGCTATTGTATTCTGAGCTCACTCTCGCCTAAAAAAACCCAAATAAGCAGATTTCAAATCTCACTGTGAAGGAAAGCCCAATACTTCAGTGGAATAAGTACACAACTGAACAGAAAAGATTTTACTGTACCCTGATCACACCCTGACAGCAGCACACTGAGTCTTAAGCACCACTCCAAGTGGTGCTTAAGAGGGACTGTTATGCTGTCTTTTAAACTGAAAAATTAAAATAAATACAGTCAGAGATCTTGGAAGAATAAAAGCACTGGTACTTGTTGACACAAATGCAGAGCACTAAAGGCTGCAATCTAAAACAACCCAAAATGCCCAGCAGAGGTTAACTTACACTGTTCCCTACTTTATTTGATTTCTAGTTAGGACATGATAGATTAAATTAAAGAACCCATAAAATCCTTCACAGTGATACAGACAGACCAGAAATCTAACATTAGAAAATGAAAGGATATTTATCATCTTAATCATTTGTATCACCTTTAGGTGATACCTTTAGGCCACACAGCTGATCAGAATGAAAAGCAAAAGGAACTAGTCAGAGTGCTGCTGGTTCCTAACATCAGAGATGGAGCTCTCTCCAAGACAGGCCAATGTTAATGGAAAAATTAGGAGAACAAATTGAATAGTATCTGCAGAAATTACAGAACATGGGGAAAAGGTCACAACCTTCTAAAACTGCAGTGACTACACACTCTTGCAGGAATATCTCTATATTTTCATACTATTCTGCAAAGCACCATTACTATGGAAAAGTCGGTATTTTAATAAATGATGATTAACAAATAGATAAACACAACACTAAAAGATTTTAAATTACCTTTAGAGAAACAGGTTTCACTTTATCACTTCTCAAAATCAGGTGAAGGGAACATTTTCTATTTTTCCCAGGTAATACCAAGTGGGACACTGTCAATGGAAATTTTTACTCAATGAAGAAGGGTTTGCTGGTTTGCTTTTTCTTCCTTTCTGTTTTGCTCCTTTTTTTTTTTTTCTTTATGAAAGCTACAATCAAATAAAAATATGTAGCATACTGGTAAAGTCTGCCTTGCATATAAAATCAATTACACAGTTCATTGATCCAGTAATGTGAAACATATTACCCCTGACTGGGAGAAATTCAGGCCCCCATGGAAAGAACAGGGCAGCTCTTGCTGTGGAAAGGCCTGGAGCTGCCGAGCCAGGTGCTGGCTCTGTAGCAGCTCAGGTCTACAGCAATTTTAGCCCAAAGGGAAAGTTCCTGGAGAACAAGATGGAAAAGATGCTCACCTGGAGCTGGGCTTCAACCTCCTGCACCTGCTTCTTGCGCTTGCCAGGAAGGTGTAAATTCCCTCACTGATCCTGTCAATCCCTTGGTCTGTTGACACCGTAAGCAAGATCAAAGCTTCAGCTGCTTAGCTGCTGTTGCTGATTGCACACAGCAAGATTAATCTTTATATATTGTAGCTTACCTAGAAATAATTTGAAAAAAAACTACATTCTCCTCTTTATTTACTGACTTTCACAATTAGGTATTCTTCTCAAAAGCAGATATTAACCCTAAATATTCAACTTTGCAGTACAGATTTCTGGCAAAAATCCTATGCAAAACATGTAAATATGTTAAATTCTCCTCTTTTTTTCCCCAAAACGATTTTCTTCTTTGTATTTTAACAGACTTGTCCCTCAAAAACTCCTTAGAAAACCTTCACTTTTGTTTGTTTTGGTTTGGGGAGTTTTTTTGGTACTTTATTTTCCTTCTACTGTTCCTTGTGCCTGGGTTTGTACTGACCAAATGGAAAAAGGAAAAATATAAAAGGCTGAAAAAGAAAGAATTACAAAGAATTGGAATCTTGGTTTTCCTTTGGTTCAACATATGCACATGTCAAAAAAGTCACCAATCTAATTCTTCTTGGACATAATTAAGAACATATAGATTTAAAAAAAAAATCACACAATTCAGTATATGATACTGGTTACTTTGGCTATCTAACACTAAAAATTTTATTATTTTTATATTAATTACCAGTAAATTCAAGTTTACTGGACTGAGAAATCAACTGTTCTGATAAATTGTAACAAAATCTCTACAAACAAGGAGAGGAAATGTTATTTACTCAACTTTATAATGCTTACACACATAGAATATACTTGATTTATTATGAACATATTTGTGGAATTTATTATGAACAGATTTGTGGAATGGAACTGGCCAAGTCTCCAAATTTCTCCTACCTCTCAGAAAGCAAATAGGGGATGAAGGCTTAGGATGCTTTTACTCATAGGAGGTTGCCACAAACAAGAGAATCACTCATAATTACACTTCTCCAAAACCTGCAGGAACCCTATAGAGATGTCCCAGCTCTTTCTGAAAAACACTGACAGGTCCAAAATGAATCTGAAGAGTTTGCTAATGCCAGAGCCTTAATATTAACTGCTGATAACTCAGGAATTCCACATGCAATCACCCTCTGAAGTTACAGTTTTACTGTCCTTGTAGATAAGAATTTCCTGGTTATCTGGCTGTGAAAGAGGGCCTGTGGGAACTCTTTTGAAGAGTCTCCTGCAGCAAACAACTCACTCTGATAACATGAAGAATTTGACTGCCATTGGGTTTAAAAGCAGTATTTTTCCCAGAGCTCATGAAGAGAATTAAGAAAAAAAAAGAAAAAGGTATTTAAGTGGTATGAAGAAATCCAGGGCATCTGATTCAGCAGGAAGAAACACTGTGGGAACCAGCTATTCACCAAGAAATCAAATATATTTCTATTCAATCAACAATTCTAGCTGCTCAAGCCACCCTGTTAAGATGTCTTTCCACTTGCCTTGCCAGCCACAGTGATGAGTATGAATACAGTACTTAAAACTAAATAGCTCAATATTTTCACTTCAGTCTTGTTTCATGTAACCAGAGGAAATAAATCCTCCTCAATCTCATACAGGAACACTGAACGTTGACAGATTTCCACAGTTCTCTACCCACACATTTTGGCATCTCAAGAATCAATTTAAGTTAATGAGTTTCATACAGTAATGAGAAAGCTGCAAATAAAATGAGACAAAATTGGGTTACAACAAAATACAGAATTGTGATATGAATAAAACAAGCCTGGATACAATCAGCAGTCAATTAGAATGACAAATTCTGTGTGGTTTCAAATTAAATAAATTTAATATAGCCTTGTAGGTTAGATACAGAAATACAGTTGCAGACAGCCAAGAGTTCCATTGCAAGTGTCCAGGATTTCCAGGCACTGCTACTAATATCTAAGTTTCTAAGGATGTCACTAATAAAGATAAGTTTGCTTAAAGTAAGGATAAAATTTTTCCAAAGTTCTTGCATCTTCTTTTTTTTATTATTTTTTATTTTCAAGCTGTTTTATTTATTTTCAATCAGAATGTCTTTGGGTTTGTTTATTTTTTTCCTACTAACATATTTTCAACAAAACTGGGAAAAATAACATGTGAAGGCATTACAGAGTTGTTTCTCCTGACTGTGCTTACTGGCCAGGTGGAAAGTCTGGAATCTGTACATGTGCAAATGCACCACTGTGGATCCACTCTTCTCGCTGAGGCCGTATTTAGCTGTCAGTTTCTCCATGGACATTTTCCATGTGCACTTTGAGGTAGTCATTCCTTGTAAACTTCTTGTGGCAGAGCTGGCACTCTGCCATGGGGCGGTTGGGGTTGTGAGTCAGCTTGTGGCGGATCAGCATCTTCTTCAGGCTGAAGGACAGGTCACAAACCTGAGGCAGTGAAGACAAGGACAAAGTATTAAAATTTTAAGCATGTAAAACACTTCTAAGGTTACATCACTGAGGCCACAGCCACACATACCTGCAGTACTTAATAAATGAGCTGGTCTTTAGAAGAAAAACTCCTTCAGAGGGCACTTGAAAGACTTTTACTGTGCCTGATATCTCTTTATGTTGTATATTAGGAGTGGTACCACAGGCACAAGGATGCTGTCTGCCTACAAAAGACTCAATCTTCAAAATACCAACATTTTGACGTGTGTCCTGGTAACACTGTAGAGCTTTGTTCAGGTTTCTTTAAAGCTACTGTTCTATCTGGGATGCAGCAAAAATTATGGCAAAACATCATGAGCATCCATCAGTTCAAATGAAATATTTCCTTCTGGAACTCCAGAATGACACCTGCAGCTTCCAAAGGAACCAGTTCCAATTGCTCAGTCACAAGAAGGGAGGAGTGAGAATGAAGAGGTTCTGAAGACTGCAAGAAAGGTTAATTACTAATAAAGGAAACCTCGTTGTTCCAGCCTTTCTCTGCCTGGCCAAGAAAAGGGAAGACATCTGCTAAATGAAGGTGCAATTCCTTTGCATTATTATCTGGTGTGCTGCTTTCCTTCCTCCACTGTATTCTAAGCAGTCAATTCATTCTGCTACTTGAATAAATGGACAGAGGCATGAGGGACTCTGCCATACTAAACCCACCACTTCATAAAAATCCCTGTATTGAAGTTAAAATGAGAAACACAGAAGGTTAAAAGAACAAGTTCAGCAAAGAAAAGTTAGAATTAAAAGTTAAGGCAAGACACCAACTCAACTGAAACTGTGCAGTTATATTGTCACACTCACCTACCATGCAAGGAAATATTGTAATATGAATTTGACAGGGAAATGAAGAAAAAAAGAAGCAGCTGCTGATTTGACAAATGAAACAGACAAGAGTCATAAAACTAAACAAGAATGAACATCCACAGGCTTGCACTTGTAAAATTCCATGTTCATTCCAGACAATATCTCCTTCATGCAGAAAAAACCCCAAGGAACCCAGGACAATCCCTCTTGAGAAAAACAAAGCTTTAAATTTATACTGGCACCAAACTACTGCAAATGCTGAATGATGACTGATCGCTTTCGAAACCACAAGAGCTGACTATCCAAGTAGATCATCTTGACCTCTGGCATACAGATTTTATGCCAGTTAAGCCAAAAACATTAAATGACCATAAAATGGCAATGGCCAGAGGGAAGTTTTGTACCCAAAATAATTTCTCCCCACAGTGTACGTGCTGCTGCACCAGAACATGTTTGACTTTATGACATGACGTAATGTTGAAGACCTTCATACAGCAATTGCAGCTCTCCAGCTTTTCCCCCAGTGAATAATCTCTGAAAAAAACCTCTTTGAGACCCAAGAAACAGCCACCCTTTGTTACTGACAGTGAACCTCAATTTCAGCATGCACTGATCAGCTCTGAGAGCTGCTTTTGCCAAACACTTTCTGTTTCTCCTCCACAGAGCATACAAAGGGAACCTGTAACATTTATCTAATCACAGCCTCAAATCCCAGTGTGTTACAAGTGTCACACCCTTGTAAATACTCCATGTTTCTTGAGAGCTAGCAGTCAGGGATATACACACATACAAGATATGTGTGTGTGTGTGTGTGTGTGTATGCTCTGTGTATCCTACACACAGCTCTTCATTTCTAAAATAAACAGCTTCTAACACAGCCTCAAAGTACATTTTTTCATTTATTCTGCTCATGTAACTAATATAATGCGTCCTTCTGTTCTTCCAAGGCTCCAGCACGTTGTGCTACCTTCCTTCTTCAAAAAGAACATGGAATGCACAGGAATTGCACATCCTGTGCTGTGCTTATGCAGAAAAGTTTGGGAGATTTTTTTTTTAAGAGTTCGCTTCGTATATCAATTTTGTAATTGCAATACAGTATTTTATCAATTTACAACCACTCTTGCTAATGTGCACTTGAGCTCTAACCAATCTCTTCAAAACGATCAAAGTTTTGGTCAGGTAGGGAGGATGGAAAAGACTGACATTCGAAAGTAAGTGTAAGGTCAACCAGAGGCAGAGTGGAAGGAAATACTGTACTGCAAAGAAACCAGGACAGGCAGTACTTGACCTTTCTGCCCCCCCAAAATCATCTATTGTCTCTGAGAAACTGAAGTTTAATTTGCCTTCTAATAAAAAAACAGGCTTCTCTGCAGAGGACAGACATCTAATTTGCTATGAAAAATTGCATTTCTATTTCCATATTTCAGTTATTTTCACTTTTCTAGGTGACATGTATTAGAATTGCCATCTTAAATGGGAATATTCAATTTCCACTATGATCCGTGGGATGTGAGAGTTGGAGACATTAAGGTCTGAAAATGCTCTCACTGACTGATAAGACACAGGAATAGACACATAAATAAACTGTAGCACTTTTCTCAAACAAAGCACAAGGATTAATTTCACATGTAACTCAATCCTGCACTGTAATGACTGTTCCATGTGCCTGAGAGAGAAGAGCGAAGACAGGAAGAAAAGACTTGATTTTTATTTCTGACTCTAGGAAAAAAAAAAAAATCTTTTTAAAGCAAAAACACAGACTAAAAGGATACCAAAAAAATTGGTATGTGATATTCCAGAGATAAGAACATGGGGAAGTTGTTGCCATAAATTACCACTTAAGTCACTGTAAGAAAAATGAGAGCATCTACAGATATGTTGAGTAGAATAAAAAAAAAATGTAGGTGAAAATACTTGAGTGTAAAAAGGAAATTTAGTATCGGGTAGCCCACAATAAATGTCCCCCATAGGGACATTTTTCTGTAATTGTCCACTACTGGTTTCCCTGTAACTTCTGCATAAACATCTGGAATTATGCAATATGCAAGACAGCTCTGGAGGAATGGGCTGCTCTGGGTGATATTTACTGTGTCCCCAGCATGTGCAGAACAGGAGCCCAGGTGAAATAAGGAGAAATGATTGAAAACATCGATTTTAACCCTCTCCAAGTGTGCATTAAGCAACAGACCATGGTGAGCACTTGGGTGACTGGAGCATGCAGGAATGAACAGTGGAGGCAACTGTTATTTTATGTCCAAACCTCAAAAAATCAGCAGCCTCTGGCAGGGTGCAGCCAGCAAAAGGCTCCTTCTGAAGAGTGGTTTTGGTGAAACAAAGCAGAAACTTGAAGTACAAAAAACATCACCAGTAACTGAAGGTACACTCTGAAAAATTCTCAAGTGAAGAACTAGGACTAGACACAGATTACAGCTGTTTCTAGAAATGCTATGGTTTGGGAAAGCACAGCTCTACTTCATTCAATTTTGAGGAAAACTGAAGGAAAAGCCAAAATAGGGAAGCATATTTTTCTACAGCTCCTATTTCTAATTAAAGCAAGGGAAAAGAATAAAATAGAACCACCACACCAAGTTAGTCTGCAAAAGCACGGTCTGAATCCAAGAGCAGTGAATCTTGGATCCACAGTGTGGGAAAAACTGCATTTACACTGCAAGCTGGCCAAGAGCTGATAAACAGTACAACAGTCTGAAAGCTGAAAAAGTTATTGACAATGATTTGGAATTAGAGAAATCCTTAAGGTACTATGCAGAGCCAGAGTGAGATTATCCCAAAAGAATACAGCAAATCTCTTAACTTGGAGACATCAGCAAAATATCTCAGTTGAACTTTTTCATGAAATTAATATATTTTATTCTCAATGAAACGACATCAGATTATTCATTAAAAACCACAACAGTTGACAGACCCTTGAAACTTTCCTGCCAAGCTGCTATTCTAATTTTGCATCTAATTATATAAATTTCTGAGCAAATTCATAGCTGCTCAGACTGAGCCATCTAGGATATAACTGGGCTGGCAGTCCCCTGTGAGTGCTTCATGAAGAAAACAAAACACCTAGACTAATTCTACATCCATTCTGATGCCTTTCTATAAATCCTTGAGCAACAATTTTGGCATTCAGTAAGTCTGGAAGACATTATTCCCCAACAGTTTTTGGACATTCAGCCTTCCCAGCTACCTCCCAAAAGCTGAGAGATGCTGTATACAAGGGGGGCAGGCCACATGAAGGGTACCTGACAGTGATCATGAACTGTCACAAGATAGGCTGCATTTCAGCCCTGTGAGCATGCACAGCACCCCAGACTGAACAACAACAAGGGGCTGTGAGTAGATGTTGAAAATATCAGACCAGATTTCACCAGAAACAAGCAATTCTGAATTCCTATTTGTGTCATTCAACATCAGAAGCATTGAGAGTCCATGTAATAAATGAAATCCCTTTTCCTACACAAGCTAATCTCCAACTATTAATCTGTCATACAATTCATACAGGAACCCAAGCAGCATGAATTTGTAAATGGCAACATCCAAATTACATTACTAATGGTGAAAATAACCCTCATGGGATCCAAAACCATAAAATGAATGGGTGTGCGTGGCTCTTGGCAAGCAAAGAGGGTACATGAAATTCCCTGAATGGCCTTTCATTCCTTGGGCAATCCAAGCCCACGTCAAGTGCAACTATGCCACAAGCAATAGGTACAAGGCCACAATATCCCTGCAATTAAATCCTGCTGCTGCACTGAGGCTGAGAAGACAAAGGAAAAAGAGGAGAAGAACTCACATCACACTGGAAGGGCTTCTCCCCTGTGTGGGTCCTCATGTGCTCGTCCAGGCCCCGCTTCTGACTGAAAGCCTTGTTACACTCCGAGCACTGGTACGGCTTTTCCTGCATGGAATGACAACAGCGAGTGAAAGTGAGTCAACACAGAGCCCAGGTCATTAAAGGAGTGGAATTCCATGCTGGATGGTGCAAGTTTTATATTCTCTCCAAGGTATTACAGTCAGTGAAAACAACAGAAAACGACTTTCAAATGATTAAGTGAAAGCTGGGAAAGCTGTGGCCTGACAGTTTCCACTTCAGCACCCACTTATGAATTAATTATCTGTTCCAGTCTTTCAAACCCAGCCATTTGGGGAGTCTGCTGTTTGTCACGTGAAAGGTACAGAAACATAAAATTCCACTGTTCTTTCCTTTATCCTCCACAAATGCTTAAAGCATAAGGACAAGTAAGATAATCCACAAAAGCTTCGAGTTTGTTTGGAGGTTTCCAAGCAGGGGGAGAGGTGAGGGAAGAGGAAGAGGAGGTAGAAGGAAAGCCTGTGGTAGCAGAAAAACTTATTTGAAAAAGTGGTGACAGAAGGTTAATCACATACTCATTGCAGAATCTCAAAAGAAGGGCAGATGGCAACCAAACCATCTGTATTTTTATTAGAACTATTTGTTAGCAGCTACTGTAAAACATGATGTTAGAAAAGTTGCAATCTCACTGACCTCAAATAAATAATTTACATATACTTATGTAAAGATATTTTTCTTTCAAGTTCTTCCTTCATACAGACATTTATATAGGTGTAATTCCTCCTTGACTCCACTGAAGTTACAAAAGAACTGTACAGAAATCAACAATAAATTAATTAAATGCAAGAATTAGCTTTATGACACTGCAAATGTCCTCAGGAAAATTTTCATGTTCTAGAGGCACCCTTATTTTTAAACCAACTAGACTTCCCTCACTCTCATTCTACTTTTTTCTCTAATTCTGGACTCTAATTCTGGACTGCTTAAGTTCTGAAGAAAGGTATTTTAAGAAAAGTAAACACTTTTTACTTTAAATCAAATTGAAAGCAATGACTATAAATCAATAGGCAAAAAAAAGCAGCTAGATCTATGAATTAACAAATAATAGGCAGTAATCAAGTTCTTTTGGGAGATGATGTGGGATCCAAGGATAAGTGAGATGGAACAACACAAGCAACAAAGAGAATAAGCTGTCTGCTTATTGAATTCCTCCTCTCAATCTCTGGGAACCATCAGGTGTCCATACATTGCTGAATCCTGCCAGGATTCAGCAGCATTCACCATCCACCTAACACAGAGCACTATCAATTAGTGCTGGGTATGTCCCAGTCTCTCTCTTTAGGGCAGCTCTCTCCAGAGACCTCAGTGGGGCAAAGATGGGGTTCTTTCATTTTGCAGTCTCCTCCCATCAAGTCTCCTAAAAAAGGCAGTGTAATTTCCATGGTTCTTCAGTAGACAGGAAAACATAAAAAATTACCTAAAAAAGATCCGGATCAATCTGTGAAAAAAAATATAAATTATCATCTAGACCAAAAAAGTTCATGTCACAGGGAACTTTGCTGACCTAACTAAAGACTTCACGGAGCAGGTTCTGCATTTTTAAGGGAAGTGTATGAATAAGCCATGTGAAAAGCAGGTTTCTGCAACAACCCCTTAATTGGTTTTGCATTGTGGTTAACACAAACCACATTTCTGTGAGTTCTCCAAAAGCAGCTTTTCTGTGTGGAGGCTGCTCCCCAGAAAGTGCAAAGTGAAATATACGATGTGCACATCTTAAACACCTACAAAAACATTCACTACTGCAAACTTCACCGGGTGGACTCGCTCCCTTTTTATTATCTTGGTCTTCAGCTATCTGAAGAACTGACTTGAAAATGACCAGGTCAATCATTCCAGTGCTAAATTGATTTCAGGATTCCATTTTGGATAAAGAGCCATTTTAAACTCTGGGAAGCTGGAGTCACAAACCTGGGCCTGTATTAACTTCCCCCAGGTTATGTTTGGCTGTTATGTATTTTATATTTGTATTATTCTCTGTGGCAAAAAAGGGTGTATCTAACATCCCCTTGGCATTTGTATTGAAATTCACATATGTAGTGCATGAAACACATCCAGAGCTGTCTTTGATCTAATTTTAGATCCTTTCCATCTGTATATTCCAGTGACTTCAGCAGACATGACTCTTGATTCACACCAGCCTCCTCTCCCCCGAGTGAAGCTGCCCCTCCATTCACATCTGTGTCTGTTTCAGGAAAACCAGCAGTGCTGTCCAGAGCAAAACTTGGCCCTCAGTTTAACTCGAGAAAAAAGGCTTTTTTTGTGTGTGTGGTTTTTTTTTCTGTGTGTTTTTTGTTGTTTTGGTTTGGCTTCTTGTTTGTTTGTTTTGCTGGTTTTGAAGAAGGTATCACAGATCAGTTTCTCTCTGCTCCCTCTCCCCCTCGTGTCAAATTTCCGTTGCACAATGCTTGGAGAAAGCAACACTTGTAACATGGAAAATATGATTTTTGCTTGGCATAACCATCACTGCTTTAAATGTGAGCAGAGGGAAAAAAGATAAAAACCATGGCAACAGATCTGAAAAAGTTAATGCCACCATGAAAAGACAAAAGGGGCCAATGCCAAGATGAGAAAAAAGCTGGACAGATTTAAAACATCAAAACAAGGGAAAACCTGCTAACTGTCTATAAACAGGAGCTCATTGGGAAGATGATCCAAGTCTGACTGCAGAGGAGTTAGCAAGTGCTGATACTATAAATCTGCCCTCTGTTGAAGAAGAATCTGCCAGGCCATGGCTATGGTGGCAGCCAAGCTGAAGGCCTACATGTGTTTTCTTTTATTGATGATCTAAATGAGGAAGGGAGCAGGGAGAGCAGGAGAGACAGGACATGGCTGATACTGCAGTGATTTAATATCACAGTTTTAAGCATGCCAGGTATGAAGAGAAATATGTAGATCAGGATTTACAACCTTCCTGCCTCTGAACAAAGAAAGGCCAAGCAGAGCCCAGTGCTACTCTGGAAGGTGCTTTGTTTTAAGACTGACACATGCTAACCTAAAAGTTCCCATCTCTGATGGGCTTCACCATTAAAACTGAGAGAAATCAAACATTTTAAAAACCATATCAAATAAAACACTGCCTGCAGCACACATTCTCATGTCTGTGGATGGCTGAATCACAAATCACACCGTGAATTCTAAGCAAACTGTGCTTTGCATTAGAAAGACCTCACTCAGAACACAACAAATCTCAAGGACATTTGATGCACCTTCAACAACTTGACACAAAGTGTGCAGAGTGTCCTGCAAGCACAGCAGATGGAAATGCTCAAATTCAGAATATCTGAACTGCTGCTGCAGTTGCCTGTATGTCCCTCAAGAAATATAAATATATTATATACACTAAGTCAGCACGTGTGTACTCGTTGTTTCTGTAAACCTGGTAATATTGGTTACACAGGTGAAACATTAATGACTTTGATAGGAGTCTCTCCAAATTGATTTCTAAATCAAAATTTAGAATCTAAATCTAAATTTAGAACTATTGCATCCACTCAACAGTAGCAACAAGACAAATATAATTTAAACATTATTATTACCAAATAAACATATCTCAAGATTAAAATAACATTAACAACACAACTACCAACTTGATGAGTCTGCATTTTCAGCATGCTGAAAAATGAAGATTAAGAGAAGTTCAGAGAAAAAAAGGAAAATTTTTTCAGGTATACTTGTGACATGAACATGAAAACTGACAGACATGAAGAATTAGTGATGCTACAGAACACAAAAAAATAAAATAAATAATCCTTTTCTTTCCACTATTGTAAAACAAAGCCTTCCTTTGCAACCAGAAAAATCTTAAAATGTCTATTGATGAGATACTGATACAGTAACACTACCTGTTTTCAAAAGGCATTTTATGTGAAAATTGTGAAAATATCAGTATTACTCTAATCAAATATGATTTATGTGCTTGCATTATCACCTCAACAGAGGGTTAATAAAAAGACTGTTTTGAAAAAAAATCAGGAAAATGAAAAAACATGTCCCAGAACAAGAAAACATGACCAGGCAGGTAACATTAAAATACACCAGTCATGACAGCAGCTACCAGGAGCTCGTCATTCTCAAAGAGAAATCTGGAAATCCTACGGCTTTGCCAACTGAAAATGCAAGAAGTCTGCTTACACTTAAAATCACAGATAGCCCAAGTACACAGACTCCAGTTTTGTATCTAAGTGTGGAAAAAATTCAAGAACTAACAAGATGCTCCCTTTGTAACTGGAAAGTTTCTGCAAGTTACAGCAAGTGGCTGACCCAGAGACAGAGGCCTACTTAAATTGCTAATGTAACACTGACACTGGAACACAAAGGGTGATGAGAATTTACAACTCTACACAAGTAGTAGGGATTTGAAACTTATAATATTAAACCTCAATTAAAAAATCACTTTACATGTTTCTTCTGTTGAAAAGTAAAATCCTGTAAAACAAAATATTTCCAACCATTAGAGCAAGCCAAGAAATTTTCCTGTTAAAACAACTGTGAAATAATTCTGGCAGATTTAAACAAAAATGTGACCTTTATTTGAAATGACTAATGTTTTTGTTAGAACAGGTCTCAATTAATTCAGTTTTAGGAGTATTAAAAAAAATAATCTTTTTTGCAATAACCTTTATAATTTAAACAAAAGCATGCATCTTCTCTGAAATGCCTGCCAGAAAAAAATGAAAAAGAAGTGCACTTCTTAAATAGTTCCAGTATATGCAATTCATTGGGTTTTACCATATCATTAACTTCCCATTTTCCGTGCTAGTCCTGCCTACTTGATACTCATAAACTGAGAAGTTCTGATTTCTTTGTGGTTTTTTGAACTGCTGAGGTAATTCCTGACCCTAAAATTTACTGAAGGAGGGTTTATTTAATCAGCATTGATGAAAATTCAATAGATGTTCACCTGCTCCTGGAAAATAACAGTATCAATATAGAAAAAGTACATTTTCACTCTGTGAGGAAGGGATGATCATCAGTCAACATTACATAAAAAAGTGTGAAAATATAGGTGCAGTGGGATTTAAACCTTCCACATTCTGCGTGCTAACACGGATTCCAGAGGCAAGGAAACCACAGCCCTGGCAAAGTCATCATCCTCAGGCAGATGTTTGGGAACTCACCCCTATCTCACCAACAGGGAAATATAGATAAAATCCAAGATGGAAAAACCCCACCAAATTCAATCATATTATTTCATTACTCACTGCCATGTGCACAGAAGTCTACAGCTAGTACACAAAGGAACTTTTTTTCTGACAACAGCATTCTATGGTGCTTCTAAACCACATGAGCCTTTTTCAAACTTTAAGGTCAAATATTTCCTGGGAAACACAGGAGAAGTGAAATTACGTCAATATTGTCCTTGCATTATTTCTCATTTACTATTATTTTAATATTCTTCTGGGTTAAAAAAGAGGGTATATATACCTCTATAAATAATATAATACTTAACTCTTAAAAAAGAGTTATTCTTTTCTTAAAAAAGAGTTCCAAATGAGTGCCTTGGAAAGCCTGTTTAACTCAGGACCTCCTCTTGTTCAGGGAACAAAAACACTGTATGGAAGAGTCCTCTACAGGAGACTGCCTCACTTCCATACTCACCATGATTTATCCCTATTCCCATGAAATTCATAAATAAAACTTGATATTATTTCAAGGCTGGCTAATTTTTGCACATACTGAGGTTTTAAACATATTTAAATATTAATGTGTTTTAAAATAGTAGGCACTTATGCATGAAACAAAAATGATATATTGAAATTTCTCTAATTTTAAAATTGCCTCAGAAATGTACCTCATTTAAGCACAGGCTGGCAGCTTCCACCCACTGGAACTCAGATTTTTAAACAAGCTATAAAAATTAAATAGATCGGTTATATGTAAATGTGAAATATTCAAATCAAGTGACAAAAAAAGCCATTTTCAAACTCTTTCTGTTTTCCATCACTGAACCCAACTGTAATAAAATCACCATTTTCAGAAGTAATGAAAACATCAATTTAACATGACAACAACTCTGAGCACCTATCAATGGCCCTATTTCCAAGCATTACCAATTCTGTTGCTGTAACATACAATAATTTTTCCACATGTTTAAGCTCAAACGTTGCAATGTTAAAGTCAGGCACTGAATAAAGCCTCAGGAAAGAGCTGAAGTTTCCTGCAGTGTGAGGGTTGGAAATGTGCATGTGCAGCCCTCAAAGCTGATATGGTCTGTAAACTCATTTCATCAACAACTTCAATAAGTTCCTCATTTATGTTTTCCAAGGCTGTTATATTTCTCCTTAAGGGGGGAAAAAAAACCAAACCCATCAAACCATAAAGCAAACACATTTACTTTCATAGAAACAAATCAGTACTCAGGTGACATTTTAATGTCAAGTGGGTGGTGTTCTCTCCCCTGCCCTGGCCAGCAGGGGTTTGGCCTTGCCTTCTCTGTTTACCCCAGAGCTGGAGCTGACACCTGCGGCCACCCAGGCTGCGCTCACTTGAGCAGCTGCCAGACCTTAATCAACTTTCTGCAATGATTTTTCCAGCAGCTTTCCCTGATCCCCAGCAACAGGTCTGGCATTTAAGCCCACTGGTAAAATACGCTGAGATTTAATCTCTACTGTCTTTGGTGAATGTCACAGTGTTACTTTTAAGCTACTTCACAAACTTTCTGGCCAAAAGACCAGGTTCCTTTCTTACAAGATATTTATGAGAATAGCCCTTGCAGAAGGGTGCTATCATTGTGTTAAATTCTACATTGCTAGGCTCAGCAGATACAAAAATACCCTCAGGATTTATACATCTCACTATTTATTCTTTCAATAATGACTCTGCATGGAAGAATAAATTTCAAATAAAATGTATGTGTAGGAAAGGGTAAAAAAAAGGAAGAGCCAACAACCTTACGGAGTTTTGAAAAGTCAAAACATGGAATGACTGAAAAGAGAAATTTCAAGTGTGACTTCCTGGTTTTTCTTGTTCTTAGAACTGACAGAAGGACCCAAACCTTTGGCAAGCACAGTGCATTTTTTATTTCCTAATCTTTAATTCATCTTTGTTTAAATAGCCTAGGAACACAGAACAAGTCCTAGTGCATCAGCATTGGGCTCAGGGGTCTCAAACTCTTTCTGCACAGGTTCCTTTCTTCCGAGGAGAAGTCCTTACATGGTGCAGTTAGAAAACATCTCCTTCAGAGTCAGGATTCAGATCATGAGCCCTAACTTCAAGAACGACACACCTGAACAGCTCAGAAGCTGTTTCCTCTGCTGAGAGGGGATTGGTTTGGTTCTTGTACCCTGAATTCATGACAAACATCAACCTACTGCTAAGATTAAATACCTTCACATTCTTGCCAAGCACAAAAGAGTTCTTGTAAATAATGGTGTCTTCCCCATTTACCTCTCAGTATTGTTGCTCCCCCACTTCCTTTTCCCCTCCTTTCCAATTCCCTTCACCACTCTGTCCTTTCACACCAGCTAAAATACATATTTGTTCCCTTGTACCTGCACTAATATTTACTCACCTGAACCATCAAATAACAGCTTATTATCCTATAGTACTTCATGCATAAGGTTCTGCAGAACAGACTCAGGTGAATTTCCTCCTTCTTGCTTGAAAATATATGGAAGTCAGTAGTAAACTTTGTTTTCTCTTCTCTTGTTTTTATTAATAATTCTAGCCCATTTTTTTTCTGCCTCCTCCTAAGACCTCCTTTGATTTTTTTCACTTTCAATTCTGCTTAAATATTAAATGAGGTGAACAGTGAGGAAGAGGGAAAGTTGTGACATGCAAGATTATAGCTTCAATTTAGAAATTACCTTTAATGTAAACATTACCAGTACTGATTCCTGTTACCTCAAAGTGAAAAAAAAGATTTCCATGGAGAAAATGAACATGCAATGGCAATCAAATATGAATGAGCCTCACTGTCAACTTTTGGGATAGGAGCAGCATCACCACAAGAAGAACCAAAATCTAATCAAGTCTAAAAAACCAGGTTTTGCCTGTATATTTAAATCCTACAGCATAGCTGTGGGGATGACCAGCAGTCTGCTTAGCATATTCACACACCAAAATAAAAAAACCTGAAATGTGACCTTTCAGATGTAATGATCAACACATCTCAAGTGGAAACACTTGGATCACATTTGGTGTGAACTGAGTTCTTTGTACCTCTAAAGATGTCCTCCCTGGTACAGCAGAGAGTTTCCTGACACATTTTAAAACAAATTTTATTATGTTCTTACTGCAACACAAAGCCTGTGTAATTACACTGTCTACATATATTAAAAAGAAATACCCACTCCTTAAAATAACTCCTCCCTTTCCTATCAGCTAAAAAATGCTTAGAAGAAAACATCACTTGGTGTAAATCACTGTAGACTCTAAAAGCCTGATTTTATTATTGTTTCCTCTATTTTTCTTCTACAGTGGCCAGGGGGTGTTTGTTGCTTTTAGTCAAGCTGTATGAAAAACCAGGGGAAAAAAATTGAATTTGGCACTGTTTCAAAGCTTGTTTACCCCTCACAGTCATGCAGAACTTAGATGGGTCATGAAATTTCTCCTGGTGCAAACACAGTTAAGAGGGGACAGTAACAACAGAAGAGAATTTATAGCACCTCTTAAAGTGATTTAACAGCTGGAAAAAGAGGAGAAACAACTAACAGTATGGGACTAGTCTGTTCCCAATGAACTACCAAGAAGTATTACACGAACTACTGATTGCTTGTACAGTTTGGGGTACAAAAGTTACAACTTTATCTAGGACCCACAGTTAATATGCTCAAGACCCACAGAAGAGTAGAGATTTAAGCAGTTTTTAATTTTACTTATTTAGAAAGCAATTCTGTGTGCCCATTTGCATATGAAGACTACAAAGTTAAATGTCACCATTCCTATTTCCCAGCAGATGCAGAATTTTCTTGGTTTGGCCTCAAGGCTGCGCTGATCTCTGTGAGCTGTAACAGCTCCTAGTTAAACACAACTTATATAAAAATGATTATCAGCTAGTAAAGGACAGCCTCTAGAAAAGCTCACATTGACTGGACTTAACTGGATATTGAAGTTTCCCTAACAGTGAAGCCTTTACAGAACTGTTTACTCAGTAAACAACACTAATTTATATCTATAAATAACCATGGGTTAAATGAAGAGGTTAGTACAGCTATTATTTCAACATAAAAGAAATGAAACATGAAAAATTAGAAGGTAAGGGAGTTCTAATTAGAATTTGTAAGTTAATGACTTGGATCTTTGCCTCTTATTTTGATAGGTATAAAATACTTTGGTTGGCAGAGCCTGATCTCCACACAAACAGCAGTTAATTACTTTTCACCACAGGAGCCACAGACAATCCTCAGGGAACCATAAAAACTCATCCTTGGGTGGGACTTACCCTGGTGTGGGTGCGAATGTGCATCTTCAAGCCATCGTTCTTGCTGAAAGCTTTGTCACAGTAAGGACACTGGTAAGGACGCTCACCTGAGAACAAGAGAAGCATCAGAACCCAGAAATGTGCCCTCAGAGGATGAAGGCCTTGCAGCACAGCTCTTTATCAAACTGAACTGCTTTTCTCTTCACAGAACAGATTTAAACTTTAGAAAAATTACAAATAATCCTGCCTGAGCGGGATGCAGTGCTGGATCAAAATATTCCTCTTTGCCGACTGATTTTGCACTACAATGTATGAATACACACAGACAGCCCTGGGGAAAATAAAACCAAAAAGAAAACACCTAATGCCCTTGCTCAAACCACATTCTACAGTGATTTACACATGGTCACTTTTATGGTTAGGCATTAACTGCTCCCAAATATTTCTTCTTTTTCACATCTGGTCATTATTAGAGGCCTCTGGGTGTCAGAATCCCAAAGGAATATAAAATCCACTCTTTTATTATGCTGTATCTGTGTTAAAAGCTGGTTAATCAAAAGTTTCTGCAATATTTGTGCTCCAGTTTATGACTGGAATAGAAGCAGAACAATCTTAGCATCTCCCTTGCAGCACCCCATATCTGAAAGGTATTTGTTTAATGCTCCATTACACTGGTGTCATTTGGCATCGATTTTCCCAAACTCACATTAGTGTAATGTGGATACTGAGCTGCTCAGAGACAAACAGTAAAGAGCTTCTGAGCACCATCATTTGGAAGAAATGTATTTTTATTTTTAACTCTTCAGGCAATGTACTGGAATCTGAGTCTACTGCCTCCTGCTCCTGTATACAATGCTTTAAAAGCAAAGATCAGGTTGTTTTCCATGGCAAAACACAGTTGGAACAAGCAAAGCCTGTTTTATAAAGTCAGTGCACAGCTTTCTGCTCATGAAGGTATTTCTGCATGTGTAGATTTAACACAGACCAAATGCCAGGCACTTATTAACACTCATACTCAATCTTCTAAAATAGCAAAGTAAGATTAACTATATTTTACAGTTTAAAAAAAACCCAAACCAGACTATTTCACTGATATCACGAAGATATCAACTGAGAGTCACTGCTGGATGTGAAATCTCCATATCCACAGGCTGTGGAGAGATTCAGGGCACCAGAAGAGCTTGGCCTCCCTCCCCTATTCTGTAGACAGATTATTTTGTTCTTCTCTGTCTTTTACTTCTTTATAGGTAACTGTGAATGGCAGAAAAAGGCCATCAAAGCACTTGTAAACACAAATATTTTTCTCTCTTGTGTTCTGTCATCTTTCAGAAAGCACAACTGTGTGAATTGGGGGGTTGGGGTTTTTTTAGGAATGATGACAACAATCTCTGTATTAGAGCTATGTTTTCACTGAGCAGTTTGATATATGATCCTCTTTCTCCTGACCTTCGATGCCTTTAATTCATGCCTCCGAAATTCAAACACTCCAACAGTTGTCAGTACTCAAATATTTAATTAATTCAGCTGACATTTTTATGTCTGGGGTCTTTTGAATGGAGAATTTAAAGCTTTCAGCAGTTTGTAAGCAGATGAGTGATGACAGTTAGGAGTTGTACCCTCCTTCCTCTCTCCCCCACCCTCATGTTTCTTTAAAGAGAAAGACCTTTGCCTCCAAAGGATGGGTTTGAGTTTGTCTGAAACAGATTAACAGTGTCCCTCTGAAATCAACCACGGACACCGTGGTGCTTGATGAGGAAGGCCTTAGGAGCTTTCAGCAGATGCCAGTAGAGGGCAACAATGACTCCACATCAACGTGTCACACCTGGAAAAGTCAGGCTTGGAGCTGCTGTTACAAACTGCTCACCGTCAAAAATTTTCACTG